GGTCTTGCTAGTTCCATAGAGACTCCTATTACTGGTTGCAGATGACTTGAGAACACTGAGACTAAGACAAAATTAGTTATGATACACTCATCAAATACTCTGCACAGAACCTTATTGCTTGCCTTTACTTTCTGTTGGAAAAAATATTGCTCAGTGGCTCAGTGCTTCATAGTAACTGTCTCTTATACACATCTAGATGTGTATAAGAGACAGCCATAACACAGCACCCCCTAGTCCGTCACCTGGATGTTTTTAATGGGTTCAAATACATTGGGAAAAAAGCTAACAAGGCATGAGTGTAAAAAATAACAAAAGTACATAATTCACAGCAGAGTTTGATGCCCTTACCTTAGTAGGCATACAGTACATAGATTAAAACTAACAGTTACTACTGTATCAATCTCTTCAACTTGGAAAGACTCGGTCAATTACTGCATTGAATAAGTCTTTATTTATTGACAAAACAGTCGACAGCCAATGTACTGAAATAACAAATGCATTCTGTTTGATGTTTAATTGTCAAAGAGCCTGTACAATAGAGGCAGTAATTGTTATTGTGAAGCTTACAACATAAAGGCGTATATCAAGTGCTATAAAAGTATAATTAAATTCAGATAATTAAAAATAGAACAAAATGGAAAAAAAAATAAAAATCATTCATTTAATGTTCATGTCCGGTGTATCTGTGAAGTATTACTGGTGGCTAATAGTAAAAAATAAACAGGTTGCGATTTTTAACAAGCTTCCGTGTACCCCGCAGGTGGGCAAAGTGCGGCCCGACAGCGATTTTTTGCAGCCCGTAAAAACGAATTAAAAATCCTATGTGTGCGGCCCGCCAAGCAACATTGGCTAGAAGACACCTTGTGTATTATGGCCCGACCATATGTAAAAAGTAACATTAAAACTGAGAATAAAGTGGTGTGACAGTAGTGCTTAGAGCTTTTTGGAAGCTCACTGGAAACATCCAAGTCTGGGTTCAGCCCTCGGTGTTTAAATCAAAAATTCACTTTGGCCCTCTGACCAATTCTTATGTCTACCCCTGGTGTACACAGTACACTACAGGTACTGCAGCAATATGAGAGATAGTATAGTAGGCCTATTGTCATCGCCAATATAAAAATGTATTAATTTACTATAATGATTACTGTAGCTCCATCTCAATTACGGTACAGTAACTGCCTTTTTGCTTGTTCTGTTGGGGTATAGTAGGGTTTTGTACTGTAGAGTAGTTTACTGTTGAAATCGACCAATCTCCAATTCTTCCAAATGTCTCAATTTTTTCTAAATGAACATATTGCTAATATCATTAATTACTAATACTGTACACACTGAAGTTTACTGATCAATTTGAAAACATTCTTGGTTGTATTTCCTTGTTGCTATGGCAAAGGCCAGTTAAATTGTTCTTTCATTTTCCATTAGGGATACCTCAACAATTGTTGTTTAGTTCCAATCATATTTCATTTATCTAAAAACCAACTTATATTATTGGCACCATGAATGCATGGTGTTAGAGATACATGTATCAGCTGCCAATACAGTTGTGAAGAAAATGTACATACATAACATAAACATATACAAACATAAACAGTAATAATATTACTAATAATATCAGAGAATACTATCGAGAATTGTTAACAAGGCTGGCAGAGTGATTGGAGCCGATGTGAAACCCTTAGAAGATATCTTTAAAATTGTTATACTTAAGAAATTTCATTTAATTATGCAAGACTCATCCCATCTTTTATACTCAGACATTATCGTAAATAGATCGGGAAGGGTTAAACTTAAACAACACAAAATATCAACAAACCGTTTCAGACATTCAGCATTGTACATTGCTTGTAATTTATTTAATCAAAACTTAAGAAGATAACTACAATTTTTATAATTCTAGACAATTTTTAATGATATTTATCACATTATAACCAATTCTATGTTATGTACAAAAAATATCTCAGAATTTATTTTTTGACAATAAAGTTGACTTGTATTTTGTATATTGTATCAGAGATTTATCCTTTGACAATTCAAAAAATTGTCAAAGGTTCCAAGTGAAGAGTGATCCAGACCGAAAACCCTAACTTGTAATAATATTAATGTACAGTGGAGCTAGTTTCTGGAGGTTTTTGCTTGCTTGTGAGAGTGTAGGAGGTCTTGCTGGTTCCATAGAGACTCCTATTACTGGTTGCAGATGACTTGAGAACACTGAGACTAAGACAAAATTAGTTATGATACACTCATCAAATACTCTGCACAGAACCTTATTGCTTGCCTTTACTTTCTGTTGGAAAAAATATTGCTCAGTGGCTCAGTGCTTCATAGTAATCTAAATTTAATTTCCATCTTTCCAGAAAGGAAATCTCTTTTTCAAAGTTTTTCAAACAGCCAGCACGAGCAGCTAATAACAAAGATACCTGAAGAATTTAGCTTGGATATTGCTGAGAGAAACATCATAGAGGGGAATGGTGATGAGTCATCTGCTAACGACAACATTTGTAAGGTTTCTGAAGGTGTTGATGTTGAGACTGGCAGCCAAACATCCATAAACTGTGACTTGGATAAAAACAGAGAGAATATTGGATTGTTTGATCGTTTAAGATATTCGGTCTCTGAGATCTCACCATCCAAAAACTCTCCAGACGTGAGAGTGGCTACTTCTTCCAGAAAAGACAATCAACCAATTAAAACTACCTTGAAAAAAGCCATTAACTTTAACCTGCTTAAAGAAAAACTTTCAAAGAAAACCTTTATCAGGGCTTTAGAAAAGCATGGAGTGGATGGGTCAAGTGCGACAACATCCTCAAAGTTACAGACTTCGACATTACCTCAGAGTCAAGATGAAGATATGATGCAAGTTTCTGCTTCTGATGACAATCATATTGTTAATAATGATACTGACATTAATGATCCTGTTTTTGATGACACTGCGTGCAAATTCCAAAGTGATAATCATGATGATGGCAAAGAGGGAACAGGTAATTATACACTATTTTGATGATTATCTATGTTATGTTATCTCATATTTGTGGTCTAGTATTTGCCAAGTCAAAATATCCTTCTTGTTTAACATTCTTAGAATTTGATCACCTATGAAACAAAAACTGAAATTTGTTTACATTGACTTTTGATATTACTGTACATTGTTTTCAGAAGTGTGCCTTGTAGTGTACGAAAGTTTACCAAACTGTACCTGCAACATAAACAAAGATATATAATACCAGTACAAATATCTGTTCATTATTACATGCATTTTTCTTTGCCAAATTTGCACAGCGATTTCATTTCACGCTGACCACACAGCTTTCACTGTTGACAGGTTGTGGAAGTGGCTCACGCTATGTTTCAGCCCTAGGTGCTAGTATTTCATGGCTTATGAATTAAATGAATATTTTGTGGCCGCCTCTCATCAACATTGATGGTAACATCAGGAATAATTAACTAAGATTAAAAAAAAATAAAAACCATACATCACCATTCTGTCTCATGTAAATTGGGTATATTTATAATAATTTTCATCTTTTAAGTGGCATTTCTTTGTATATTCAGAACATATATCCAACACAGAGGTGCTACTGAATGATGCAGCTGCTTTAAATGAAACAAGATCCACTATGAATGATGAAACTAATGATGACAACTTATTAATTGAACTCATTAGCAGCGATGATGATGACGATCTGCCAGATCTTGGTGACACAGTCAACAGGTAAATTTTCAAATCGCAGTACAGTGTCAACATTTTATTTTTACCATGGACGTATACAATACAGGTTCCCCGCTAATTAACATACCCTCCAATTAAAGGCCATAAATAATTTTTTTGTAAGAATAATAAAGATCAAAGCAGCTAAAAGGCAGCGTTGGGTGTAATATAATGTTTATTTATTTCTGAAATTTCAATTTTCTTCTTGACGGTGTGTGTGCTAATTTGCCAAAAATAAAATTTTATTTTTTTTGAAGTAATTATTGTGGTTGGAGTGTGGGGGTTGGGGGGGAGGTGCCACAAAGTAAGATATTAACTTGCAATTATAATTTAAAATAGGAAAAAAATTACCTGTCAATTAAATAATACATTTTTCTTGATCCTCAATTTTTAAATTTTGTAATCAATTTAATGATTTTTGTAGTAAATCAGCATAAACAATTTTTGTTGCTCTTTTTCTGATTAGAAGTTAATTATGTAATCGATTCTTTTAAAATGTACTTTTCATGTTTTTTTTTGTTTGTTTGTTTTTTTTTTGGCATAGTACATTTTAGTAATATTCTGCAATAGTCATCAGCTCTTCTTTTAGATCCATATGGGAAGTTCATAATCCTTCAGTACTTAAGAACTAAAAGCAATTGTTTAGTAAGATGTTCCTCACTCGAATTATATTAAAGTTGTTTTTGTTATTTTTCTAGACGAGAACACCAACAAGATTCTAAAGAAAATGAAGTGTCCTTCTCTCAAGACAGCCTGGTATGTCCTTATCTTCTTTGCTATTCATAATTCCCATTTTCTATAGAATGACATCTATAATATATATAATAATATACAACTTATATATTATCAAAAGCAAATACAGTATAAATTTAGTGGAAGGTCAATTTTACAGTACAAAATGGATCAGTTGGATGTACCCTTCTATTAAGATGAATTCATGTTTAATAGTCTAGAAAAGTCTTCCATTTTGTTAGTTTTATAATCTGAATATTAAACAATTCATAAGAAGTACTAAAAATGTGATCAGTGTGTTCTGGTAGCATGTTCTGTTTTTGTCAGCAACACAATGAGAAAAATTAATGTTTCTCTACCTCTCATCCAAATTGTGATTAACTATATAATGACAGATAGCAAGCACAAATACTGCAGTGGTTTATGTTCCAGATCAGATATTGAATTGAGGTTCCATTGTAATGCAGTAAACAAATAAAAAGAGTGTTTTCAGAATAAATTACAGAGTAAGAAAAAAAAATCAAAATGTAGAATCCAACTGTTTTGTCTTACTGTATTTTTCAGGAGGATTCTCCACTTGACAACTCCATCACCAACATTGAAACAAAACCTCCAGAACGAAAACTTAAGTTTACCTTAGACAAGATGGTGCAAAATAAACAGGACAATGTAAATGATTCATTTTTTAAAAATCTCTTATGTTTAAGAATTCAATTTCATATTGTTGTTATATCATTTTGGTAAGATAACAAGATTGTACCTGGTTTGTCATCTTCATATTTTGAACTGCCATTATTACACAATGTTAATATTGAATGCAAAGAGTGCACACTTATAACATCCTTTTAAAAATAGTTTTTTTAAATGACTACCAGAAGACATTTTATATTCATTCACATTTTGTGGCCAGTTGTTTATTTGTACACTTATGAAATGGGATGTAAGCATGTTTAATATTAACCTATAAATATACAAACATATATGTTAATTGAAGGCTGTTGGTAATTCTTATTAGAAGGACTTATGATGTAAATGTCACCCAGCAGGTGGCTTTTGTGTTTTGCAACCTATGCCATGACAGCCCATAGCACAGACTGGCTATGTAGTCTAGCCAAGTGGTTCCCAACCTGGGGTCCACGAACCCCTAGGGGTTCGCAAAACATAATCGGAGTTCCGCCAAGTCAAACCAGTCCGCAGAGGGTTCACAAAATATGCTGGGGTAAAGCTAGATTTGTAGACCAATTTTTCATGATTATTCTTGTTTAACAACAGTGTGATAAACATCTGCTAATCATCAGGTATGGTACTTTATCAATAATAAAATACCTAATGACATATGCATAGCCTTCGTTCACAGTACAGTAAATTGCTTAACCTGGCATTATATTTTCAATCCAATATTTTATTGCTAATTTGTTAGAATCTGTTATATTTTCTGTATGGTTTATGTAAAGATGTTTAGTACAGGAGAGCCGCATGTCCAGAGGGGTCTGCGAAAGCAAAAAGGTTGAAAACCAATGGTCTAATCAAATCCAATCGAACCAAATCATCAAACATTTATATCATCATACTGCTGTACACATAATACAAGGCATAGATGAAGACCAGCCTAGAAATCAAGCATTCATCCTCTTTAAAATGATATTATTAATTATTAGCAATGATTCATAGTTTATGATCTTTGTTTTCTCAACATTGTTGTTTAAAAAATGGCAGCTTTAAAATTTGTATCTTGACAGATATTTTAACAATAATTTTCTTGATGCTGTAGGATCTGAAAGATGTTGAATTAGCTAAGATTACAAAAGAACTGAAGAAGGATATGGGCATTGATTGGATGAACAGAGCCAAGTCTGAAGATAACGCAAACAACATACTGCCAGACCACAAGAAAGAACTTGATAAAGTATGTTATTTCATAATTTTGAGTCACCATATTTAAAATAGTCATGTCATGAGCTGATGTGTATATTTTGAGCTTGTATACTTACCTCTGTGTCTAGAAATGTAAATATGGTGAGCTTCTCATACTTGATTGGCTGTAATAACCATTGGATTGTACATAATAATGAGATACAGTAGAACCCCTCCTTTCCATTAAGCGAGGGGAAATTTATCTTTTAACACTATGACCAACCCCTGTAAGGGGGACACTTCCTGTGTGTGCCAAATGGTTAAATTATCTCTATTTAAGGGGACACTTATTTTTTTTTTCATTGTATCATAACACCTACAGCAGTCTCAAATTAAGAAATATTCATTCAACTTTATAGTTTAAAACCTTTTGAGAAATGAACCAGAATTTTCTCCCTGAATCCATAGAGCCAATTTCGGTATAGACCTACTAAATGTGTCACTATGTATAAAACAATCTCTTGAATATTGACCCTAAACCATGGGGGTTTCTTTTTCTTTGTTTTTTGTGTACTTTCTTATTATGGATTCTATGCGTGCTGCCCATCCAATAGAAAGCTCAATATAATTTAAGAAAAGGAATATTTGGTCATTACCAATATATCATGAAATAATATTAGGAACTACTATTGTTTTAATTACGTTTCTGCTGATTTCATATTATAAATGAATGAATTGTTTTTGCATTGCAATTATTTCTTGCTAACAGAAATGTTTCTTGATTAATCCCTAACAGCTAGAAAACAAATTATTTTAATTTTTTCTAATAGTTTGCCTACCCCACTGATCATGTGCCAGGTATATACCCCGGAGATGATGTTTTCAACCTGGACCACATTGGTGAAGTAAGTTATTGTATTTTAATATTTAAAAAAAGCAAAGAAAATATTATGGCAATTGTGATAATATAGTGCCTTTTCTAAGGGTTGGATCCATAATCAAACCAGCACAAAGTGCAACCTCCTCCACTCCCTGGGGAATATTTATAGTTGTGCTTGCAATTTAATGCAGATACAGGCTAATACATTCAATGCCTCATCATGTCCTACGAAGTACCCATTTATACTCCTAGAATGAGAGAGAGAAACTTGGTAAATTGCCTTGCCCAATGACACAAGCAGAATGCACAGTAAAGGTTCGAACCTCCAACCTCAAGTTTGAGAGACTACAATGCAACCGCTGCATCAATTAGGGCGTGTTTCTGCTGAATAACACCAAAAACACTTGTTTCTAATAAACGGTTAAATTCCTTCTGAACACGTTTCTAGTGAAAAGTGCAATAAATAAAAACACGGTAATGCGAGCATTGGCTAGTGGGCGGAGATTAAATGACGGTCACCAACGGAAGTTGAAGCTGACCTTACTTCTTGTAATCTACAGCGCATGCTGCGAAAGAGGTAAACAACACACCACAAAAGTATGAAAAAAGTATGGTATGATCTTCAAGCATGTCATCCTATTGGTTTAATTTTTTTCTTCGCTCCAAATTTTCCGCGCGATTAAACCAAGGTCAATTTGGGTCACCGACGAGTCATGAAAAACATGGTATTGCATTGCAGCTAAAAAAGTGTACCACAAAATGCATGTTTTCTGAACGTGAACCCTATAACGAATGCGTGTAAAAACACGAATTTTTCAAACGCATTCCTAACCGTGTTTTTGTTTTGTGTACAGTAATTTTAGTTTTTTTGCTCAGCAGAAACAGGCCCTTAGTGACATTGCATTGAGAGCACCTCTTCTGAGGCTCTGCTAACTAAGCTAAATTGCTCCAGTTGAAAGAAAGCAGATGAAACTGCATCATTTTCAAGGATTTTCTGTCATTCCACTTACATCTTATCTTAGGTTTAGACATCTATTATCCCCATTTTTACAGCAGATAGGGTGCAGACCATTTAAGTATGGACGAACTGGTAACTAGGGCAGTTACTGTAATAGCTCAAAACCAATTCACACAAGATAACATTTTAGTTTTTACTCAAAATTTTTTTACTTTCCCATTAACTCCATCCATTTTTATATTAATACAAATTTATATGAATATACGTTCTTGTAGATAGATGATATTAAAACCAGTAACATAAATGGTAAAACATTTTTTTTTAAATTTTTTATAAAATACAAATATCAAAGGTTAACCTAGCAAAAGGCACTTTGTTGGTCTTTCAAACTCTGCATTGGCTCCAATTCATCTGGTACTGTAGCAACAAGGCAAATTCAAGAAATATTTGAGATTGACATTTTCTTCACTTATTCACCATTTTTGGCAAAGACAAGCCAAACCAGTCACTCGTCGCAAATTGTGTTTCAGAGAAAATGGCCAAAAACATGCTGGAATGTCAAATTTTTAAATCTATTTTATTGCACTAAACTAACCTTTATATGTCTATACATTATTCTATGCTCTTATTTCCCATATTTTCAATGTTAAAACAATACTTTTTAAATTATTTGATGATAGTTTCTGCATGGGAAATGCCCGAAATCATTAACTTTGAAGGCTGATTTCTCATATATTGTTCTTTAAACAGCTATATGTTTAAACGCTTGTAACTTCATAAGGTGATGTCAGATTTGAATTATTTTTTTACCATTTTATAGCTCTTATTTTACTTTTTAACCCTGTATTATTAACTCAAAATTGATTTTTGCGACAAGTGACTGGTTTGGCTTGACAAATTTATTGTCATTCATTAAAAGAAACATAATTTTTATTCCTTCTGATTGAATGTTTTTCTAGGTACTGTACCTAAAATTACTGTACACAAAGCTAACTAATTGGCATTTCTGTGTGTTACAGGTATTTTCCTTCCCATCTACCCTGCGTTTGGTTGACTGCGGTTTTAGGCCTGTGAAGGGGAAGGCAACTGACTCCCTGTTATGGAAAGCATCCCCAGGTAATTTTACAGTATATGTTTTATATGTGTTTTAATGTACTTTTTTATTATTAGTAGAAAAAGAAATAGAGGCAGCATATTGAGACTAAACTATGATTTTTATTAGTACAATTGATGCCAGCTTCACCACAACTATGAAATCAAAATGTTCCAATTATTATGCAAATATTGTATGGATAATAATATTATCCATAAAATTCATTATTTATTTGTCCTCATTCAAATTGGAAATCGGAAATCAAAAATTTGGGATGTGCCCCTTGGAACCCGCGGCAGCCGCAGTGGAGCGCCACCTGACTTAACTACAACACATACAGATACAAACACCTACATCTCAATATGAAAGTTATTTAAGGAGCTGAGCGATCAGACTCAGTGTTGGCTGAGTTTGAACCTGGGTCTTCAGCACAATATGCAGGATATACCTCTCAGCCAACTGCTGTACTTAGATACTTTTGTACCATAAATACAGAGGCTAAAACTAAGAAACATTCATTTTGGCAGTACAATATTTAAATCCATTGGTGACATCACAACTTCTAATGCGAGATCACTTGGTGAGCATCAAGAAGCAAACTCATATGGTAAAACATTTCCATCAACTCAAAAATAATACTCATGAAATATCTTACTACCACCTTCCAAAACACAGAAGTTAGTCTTTTACAATGTTTAAAATAAATTAAAAAAATATTTGTCAATTAGCACTTTCATTATATATTATGAAAGATGTATTGTCCCATGCTAAAAATAAAAAAAAAACTTGCCCATTTTGAAGTAATATAAAAGTTATCAACTTGAACATAGAAATTAGTGTTTTAAAAAAATGTCTACCCATCAGTTTACAGCGAAAAATGATAGAAACACTTCCAGTCACTGGAAGTGTTTTATTATTTTTATTATAATTTGTTGGTTTAAAAATCAGGGTACACATTTTTTAAATTCAATAATTTCTATGCACAAGTTAATAATTTGCAAAATGAGCAAGTTTATTTCAAACTTATGTTTTATGATTTTTTGATTAGTCAAGGGACAATACATCTTTTAGTCTTTGGTGTTCTGTTTTATTTATTCAGATTTCCTTGCATTTCGTAGTTAAGTCTTGCATATTCCCTAATGCTTAGACATAGATATCAAGCTCTGGCCTACAATATGTGACAACATTTACTGTAATTTAATGCTATACCAATGTTATCTAAGTAAAGTAAAGCGAAATAATTTACCCTTTTAAACTTCCCTAATTTCCTCAGCCTTCAAAATAAAAAAAAAGTATTAGTAACTTAATTAATTTTATATAAAATTTAGATCTTTTTTTGAATAAATGTATGTTATATCTTCAAAATAGACTTTCAGAATCTGTCTGGTATATTTTTATTTTGTATTGCATGTTTGAATAATATGTTTTCCTTGATTGCAGATGATCTGGTTGGCCTTATTAACTCATGTTTGCTGGCAGAGGCTCATCTGGTTAGGCCATGCCAGGATGCCTTGATGGTGTGGATTTTTTACCTCAGTGAGTTTATGCCAGGAGTTGTTATAGCCACTATAACAACTCCCAGGTTTAAAATCATTTTTTATTAGTAGTTGCTATAATTGGTTGGCTGAAAGTTTTGGGTGATGATGCACTTTGTACCTGTAGTAACATATGACTGGGTAACATCATACCTTTTACATAGAAACACTGGGTCTGGTTTAGGGCATGCCTAGGTTTAATAATGTTAGGATAGAATTGTCTTGCAACTCACAGATTCAATTCATTTCAATTCAATTCAAACATTTATTTACTTCCTTTTCAATTTGTACAAAAATATGAAACAAGTTCATAGTAGAGTCATTTTCATGAGATCCGTGACTAATTTTAGGATACCTTTTTTTCTCGATGGATTTGGCAAGATGGGGGCATATACCCACTCATATGGACGCAGGGTGACCTTGAAAATCACAAAAAAATTTGCATCGTTAAACAAAGAGGCTACTTTGAGTGCAGATAACTTCAAAAGGGAAGGAATGACTGTTAATCTAAGGTCATATTTGTGAAATACGGTAAACAATAAGTTAGAATACCAAGTGTGACCTTGATAGCTATTACCAATCCCGAGTTATAAGCTTCCAAAGTTGAAGTAAATTGCATTTGCATATCTTGAAGAACCACGCCCCTTTTTTAAGGAGTCAATATCTCGGAAACTACATACCCTAAAAGGCAAATTTTTTTTTTTGTTGGTTTTACATACAGTGGATCATTTTTATGGAATTTCATCAAAATCTGAGACGGTCATACAGGAATTTTTTTTTAAAATCTGGTTGATTTGACATGTAATGACCCTACAATAGGTCAAAGGTCGGAATTTACCATTTCCGGTCACTATTTGAATATTTTTTTCATTAAGACGAATATAAACATAAATCTCCTGAACAATTTGCAATTAATTGTGATTCTCTGTGACCAGTAGTTTTCGAGATATGACAGTACAAGGTCAAAGGACAAACTTTCAAAAATCACATTTCCCGCCATTTTTGGAGAAAAAGTTGTATTACAACAAATAGGAACATGCATATTGTGAAAAGTTTGAGACCAAAATCATGTCTTTCTGACCAGTGGTTATTGAGATACAAGCGTCCAAATCAACAGGCGGTCACTTTGAAAAACGCCCCCAAACAGGACTTTCCCCCCATATCTGGTAGGTATATAGGAGCTATATTTTATCTAAATTGGTCCATCTTGCCAAATCCATTGAGAAAAAAAGGTATCCTAAAATTAGTCACGGATCTCATGAAAATGACTCTACTACCATAACAAATTCATGAGAAAAGGAAAAAGAACACCTAACCCTGCATTATCCTAGGATTGCTGGTTTAGAAATCATTAATTCCTACTGGGAACCCATTTATGCATTTGAATGGATAGAGAAGAATGTATGTGGAGTGCCTTCCAAGCACAATAAGCAATGTTACTAGCGTTGACATGTTGACAAGGACGCGAAGCCTCGCCCACAAAGTCACGAAAACCTTAGACAATGGCGGCTAGACTTGCGAACATTTTCTTTGCTATCAACCTTCTTTAAGAAAGAGAATTCAGGGTAGGCGGTATGCAAATGAATCATATATTCATAGTGTTAATCTATTTCATGAATTAGGCGGTTAAATTTTTGTAAAAGCCTCTGTATTTCGCTCCCAAAGCAAGAGGGAAAAGCCGCATTTAGTCAACCTCGTTGGCAAAGGCCAAGTCACTGATGTGCAACCAAACATAGACATTTAGGCCTAGGCTCACGTATGTTTTGCGTTGACAACCAACTGTCTAAGGAAATTAAAATGTCAGAGAAAAAGTTTTTGATCATGTGACTAAATGGTGCTCGCTGGTTAGTTGGTTTATCTGTCAATCAAATCTCGTCGAGATGTTAATTGAATTCTATTTAGTTGGGAAAACTCACAGCATACTGCTGCTCCAATCTCTTGTCAAATGTTCCACAGACTTCCATTAAAATGCAAGTTATACCAGTTGACGTGTACCAAGGGTGGGTGTAAAAATGGGTGACATCATGAACCTACTGTAGGCAGTGCAAGGTGCTGTAATGGTGCGTGGAGATATAAAAGTTTTTTTGTCAATTGGCCTAGGGTTAATCTAGGATGATTCTAGAATGAAAAAACAGGCTAAATTATCAATGTTATTATAGCTTGAAAACTGGAGATTTGAAACATCATACAAGCATTTTGGGCTAAAAAAGGCAACTTAGATTTTCAAAATTTTGTATTGCTCCATACAAACTTTTTTTTGGCCTTCAAATATAATATTTTTTTTCTTTTTCAGTGTCAATTCATGGGAGTATACACACAATAATGCAGGCATTTAAAACACTCTGGTCTCTTATGAACAACTCAATCAGATTCAATCAAAGTAGAGTATGGCTGCCAAGTTTAAAACAGATAACACGAGTTTTACTTAATTATGGTGAGTCATGCTTTATTAATCCTTTAAAAAGATTTTCTCAAATAAGACTAAACAATTTTGATCGGTAAGGGATGACAAGAAAAACAAAACCACTGACAGGCTTAGTTTTGTACTGAAACAAGTAAACCACTTAATAAGACTACTATACAGAGGATAGTATTGTATATGATTTAGAATGATAAGATTATACTATGTGAATATGTTAAATATATTTATATACTATTGTTACAGTGTTTACAAAAGCTTAGTTAAAGTACACAACTAAATTTGTCTAAACTGAAATGTTGAAATTGACAAATACAATCTTACCAGGGCAGTTTGTCTTTCTACCTCAACGACCTCGGATTTCTGGCTACATACATTCATCTCCACTCTTTAATGTTCAGACTTACGACTTGACTCAGGCTACGGTCACACTATATTTTCAAGCCTGGCTTGACTTACCGCGGGTGAGATTTTCATAATGTGACCGCATCTGCACCGACTCGCGCCTGGCGTGACCTCGATCTCAATCTACCTATCTCGATCCTGGCTCAGCACCCATATTGACCCTGGATTGACCCAGGCGTGACCAAGATTGACATTTCCTCGTCGGCTGTCGACCAATCACAGTCGATGACGCTGTTGCGTTTAGAAGTTCTTGAATAAAAAACCCGCGAGTTCTTCATGTGTGTTCAATCAAGACGCAATCATTACTTTTCATAAAAGTTAATTCAAATTTTAATTAATAATAATGCGATTGATTTGGAGCGACCAGGAAACTGCTGACCTGGTGGATTTGTGGGGCCAACCCGAGCTGAGAGACCGGATAGAA